GGTTGGAAAACAACTTCTTCTTCACATATATCACCATATGTTGCAAAGGCTTCAGATGTTGCTGGTGTGAAGACAGGTACACTTAATTCAATTGCATCACCAAATGATGTTTGTGATTCATTTGCGGCAGTACTGACTATAAATTGAAATCGAGCTGTGCCTGCATGAATTGTCGATATTGGAAATGTAAGTGCAGCTCGTTTACTTGGTTGAAGTTGAATTTCATAACCAACTACTTGTTGATTTTCTTCTGGTGCTATTAATTTTGCATTAGTTGCTTTTAAACCAGCATGTAATAATAATGCTAAATCAGTTTGATTTTGTAAAACAACTGAAAAATGAGCTGTATCTCCATAATTAAGAAATCTTGGTGGTGAAGGTCGAATCATAATTGGTAATTGAACAGTAAATGACATTTCACCTAAACCATATTGTTTATCATTTGTTGCTATGGCCCATACACGATAGCGTGTTAAACTATCAGGTAATTTAAATTCAAATGTAACATGTCCTGATGAATTAGTAATTGATGATGGTACCCAACATGGTAATGGATTAAAATTCGATCGAACCGCTATTTTTTGTTCACCACTACCAGCCCCATGTAAACTCCTACTTGAACAAGCCGTTGGCACAGCTCTATGCAACTGCATCTTCCTACTTCTCATCGCGAATGGTGCGAACCGGACATTTTCATCTTGTTTTTGTTGCAAATCTTTCTTGAATTGTTCTATGTCTTGCATATTGAATAATAAACAACGATTTCTACCGTGATATTCTGTAATATTTGCTGGTCGATTAGGATAAAATATATCCAATGGATTCGTTAATTTATGATCAGTTAATGATAAAATAGCTTCATCAACAACAATTAGACAAACTTCTGCTTTGTCTACAGGTACTTTATCTGTATATTGTGTAACATTAACATCTATTCGGATGATTGATGATGGTGTATATGTTTTATTTGTTTCTTTTGTATTAACTAATACATTTAGTTTATACAAATCTCTTGAGACTTCTAATGATACTGTACCAATAGCAATTGCTGGACGATTTGATGAATTAACCATTTCTGTTTCTCTTGGAAAGAAACCTGTTAATTCAACACGAACAGTAAATCCTGGTATCCAATCTTTTGATATTTTAAATTCAACAGTTGTTGAATCTTTTTCAGGTTCCATGTGAAATTGTATTGGTTGTGAAATTTGACCTTCACAATCAAATATAACTAAACCATTAGCTGGACTAAAAGGTGCTAAGATTAATAATTCACATGTATCATCTGGTTGATAATTTGTTGCATTAGGTATAATAGTTAATGTATCAGTTGGAACATATTCAACCTTCTGTTTTTCTATTTCTTTACCACTACCACCAGCAATATAAAGATTATCAAAGAAACTCATAGCTAATCGCCCTTGTTCATCTTTGACAGTATATGAT